CCTTCAATTTGGCGACTCTGATCTCTGCGAAGTCGTGATGGTAATCCAAACCTGAAGGAAACCCCTTCTGTCAGCTTCTTGCCAAATGTTTCAGCCTTGTCGTCAGGAAGTGAAAATCTGTGCCATCCTCGGGCCATCTGGCTGCATAATCTGTGACAACCAAAATTAGTTTTTTGCCTCGTTCGGTTATGGGCAATCCGCATAAAATATCAATGGAGAGAAACTGGAAGGGTTCCGTTGGCCCTACGATAGGTAGCATTGGGGCATGTATGAGGCGAGTTGTCTGCTTGCGCTGACAAATGCTACAACTTTTAGCCTAATCGGCTATATCCTCATCAATTGTTGGTCACCATAGCCGACCTCTGAGTCTTTCTCGTCCTGATGTGGGATCATCATGATATTTCGAAAGGACTAGTGGAATTTGCTGTCCAGGAACCGAAACCTTCATACCCTGTTCAGAGTCTCGAACCAATACTCCATTTTTTAAGCTCAACTGGCCTTGTTCAAAGTAGCGGAAAAGGGTTGGATTACCCACAGCTTCACTATCGAGGATATTATCTGATGACTACAAGCTTCTAGAAATTTTGCACCTTGAGTGATCCAAAAATTTGGTTCAACGCACGCTGAAAGGGTGCGGGGCTGTTACATAATCCGAAGGGCATAGTGATGCACTCGTACAAGTCAAATGGTGTGTTGAAAGCTGTCTGAAATGTTTGCTGTTCCCAGAGAGTCTGGAGCATCATCAATACGTGAAATTGGATAAGAATCCTTTCGGTGTGACATTCAATTTCCTGAAGTCCAGGCATGCTCGGATAGAGCCATCTTTCTTTTTTACGAAGACAACCGGACTAGCTCATGGGCTTGTGGATGGGCGTATGGCATTTTTCTCCACCATTTTCTTCAACTACTTAGCCAGTATTTCACGATCTCTTGGAGATGTTCTAAGAGCTGACACACTACCAACCATTAAATGTTTCAAACTTAACAAATGGATAGCCAAACAATGCCTGCAAATGCGGTCTTGCAAACTGGGACCGTGGACCTGAGAAAAAGTGGCTAATTTAAACTGCTCCAGCTCCAATGGAGGAAGCATCTGCTTCAATAATGAAAGGATGAGAAAAATCATGATGTGCAAGGATTGGTGCATTCATCAAAGCATCTTTCAATGGCGGACTTGAGATTGCAAGATGCAGATGGAGCGGTCAGGCTTCTTGTGTGTCTTTTTAAATTCGTAATAACCATGCCGGTTCGGTGTCCGGCGCGGGAAAATGCGGAGCCACCTCTGGGTTTCTCGCTTCGTTTTCAATTATCGAAGTTATATTAGTAATTAAGCGTGGAAAGGAGAGAAATTTTTTGTAGGTTGTCCAAAGATTTAGCGTTCGTATTCTCGGGACCTTTGCCATCAGCTCATCGATCACTTTCTTGTAATTCAGTGACCTGCTGACCTCTTGATAGAGTATGGCTAGCCCCGCCAGGCGTTCTTGCGATGTGCTCTATCTTAGATACGTTATAAAATATTTCAGTTTGGAGAAGCTTCATTCTGCAAATGCAACTCTCACCGGAGCCGTGAGTAGCACTCCGAGAGCGATGGACGCGTTTGGATGTACACGGGCCTGGCCACTCTCGTGAATGAATCGCGGAGTTCCAGGAGCATCGAGTGGCTCTGGTAGAAGCGTGACCAGACTGCGAAGCGCATCGACGAGGTCGTTCAGCTGTTAAGGTTAAACTTTGCACGGGTACCATCGATGATTGAGGTTGCCACCCGTTCATAATTAATATCGATAGCACATATTTCAGACGCTCCGTAGATACTGTAAACCGATCTTAATATGGACACTGTTTTGTATATATATGTCCATGGGACGAAAGGAAGAAGACCCGGAAGGAAGGAAATATGAATTGAAAGTGATGAACAGGACCACGCAGAATTTATGATGATGTTGCCGAGTTCAATGGATTCTTCCTTGTCCGATCTGGCTAACCCCTGCTCCATGGCGAACGGACAGGAATCGTTCGATACCAGGACCTAATTATGAATCATTTCACCGAGTGGGGGAAATTCACTGTTGTGCAAAGGAAATGGGCATAGCGCGCTTTGAAAAGGCGGTGGGAGACGAGAGGGTAGGAATTCGTTCGCCAACGACTCGTTATTGGTGGAAGGGGGAAGGTGGAAAGGAAGCCGGAAGTAGGGGAGATGGATATCTGTATGGGAAGGGGGAGAACCAAGGTCGAACGCTGCATCGAAGGAGGAAATGGAGGGTATAAAAGCTGTTCCAAGCAGAAGTCCTGAGCAGTCACGACGTGGTCTCTTTCATCACCGGTCACCTGCGACTTGATCAAGGCCGAAGGGTAAGTCCTTGGCTGTGTTCATTGTAAATGTTGAGAATAAGTTGAGTGCGAGGAATTATGGTGAATTTCCGATTTTTTAAATTTACACAGTGGAGTGTTGCTAAGAAGACGGAAGGTGACGGGAACCAATTGCTTGAGAGGATCTCTAGTGCCACGAATGCAATCGCCATCTTTAATATTGGCGCTGGTTTTTCCTCTGTATTCGTTACCGAGTTATATACAGTGTTCAGTACTAGTACTACCTGTACAAGTATAACTTTCTGCCCATGGGCATATACAGTATGTCCCATGGATGGGCAAGATGGCTTATCCGTGAGCTCAGTTCCCTCCCTGGAACATAGAGTAGGGACTACATGGTGACTCAAAAGTCCTTGGACACCTTTAATCAAGTGTAGTATTCTCTGATGAAGACCAATTTAATTTCTGATATGACCAGTGCAAAGATCACAAAAAAAACTAAACCAACCATGTTTTTATGCTTAAAAAATATCACCATTTGAGGCAATAACCGTTTTGGGAAATCATTTACGGTGCTTCACAACTGATCAATCGACAATTTATTCCATTCCTTCAGCAGATCAAACCGATCACCTATTAATACTCCTGTGTGGCTTGCAGCAGACCTTGGCCTGCAAGTAGAACCACACATTGTAATCCAATGGATTCTAATCAGGACTACTAGCAGGCCATTTTGCACAAAATGCAGGGGAGTTTTGCCAGAAGCACAAACACCACCCTACACCATCACACGACCTGGTTTTTGAACTCTATGGACATATCGCTGGTGAGATTTGAAAGAGGAAAGCTTTTTACCCCAGAGGCGATTGTATTGGGGGTTGTAAGCTTGCTCTACAGTAAAAATTTTTTTGTCAGAAAAAACAATCCTTTGGAGTGAGGACTGGTTAAACCGTTTGAGCAACTGGCGGGACCTTCGAACTTGTTGGTCTCTTTGTCCACTCTCAAGGTTTGCACAAGCTTTCTTCCAGAATGCTCTGAATTTCGTTATAGCATTTGCCTGATTCGTTTCTGGGGCTTCTTATCCTGCAATACGGAAGGACGTCCACTTCTTTGGCGATCTGCTGCTGATCGAAGTTAATTGTATCGCCGAATAATGCTTTGAGATCCTGCTTGCTGGAAGACCACTCTGGTTTTGAAAAATCACTGCTTCTCTTTGATGTTTGGGAACCGTATCAAGAGCTATCGACCTGAAACTTGGAAGGCAAATAGATCTGTAGTAGAAGTTGCTTCACTCAAAAAATCACCTGGCTATCACTTGTCCAACGGTTTTTTCAATAGGTGTCCAAGGACTTTTGAGTCACCCTGTACAGGCATGCAGCATTGACATCACTGCCAATAGAAAAATGATAGTGCTACCATTCTTTCTAATTACCATACACATGAATTCAACTGCCCTATTTCTGTTATTGCATATATAACAAGACTCTTGAAAGAATATGAATTTTTCTGAAAGAAATAATGTGGAAACTGAGATCTCAGAATCTTATGAGCTATCACTACTTTGTGCAAGCATTGCAAATATGCATAACAGCATCATATAATGTCCCCATGAACAGCTATTACAGTTTAACTGAAGGCCCCTCCAGGCTGTTGACACTTAATCTTATTCCACTTTTTTATTATTATGACTTACAGCATTAGACATATCAAATGCACAGCAACCTACAGAACTACAAGCTTAATTTCCAAGTTTTTGTTATCAAGTAGCACTGCCACTTATGCTGAGTGAGCACAAAAGGCCGAATGGATTCAAAATGTTCAAATTTGGAAATAAAACAAAGTGAAGCATACCCAGAAAAGTTTCTAAACATTCCTTAGAGTTTCTATTCATTCAAAAAGCTCATGGGAGTGCTCAACTTTTTTGGGAATGGATATATTGGGCCCTTCAAAGAATCTCAAGACTTGCAAGTCTCTTGAGAAACTCTGGCTTAGGGTTTCTAGTTCTTCATGGTTAAATTTATCTAACCTAAATTTTCATATAACGTCCATCATTATCAAAGCAATTCTGGGCACAGTTCTTGAATTAATGGATGTCATGGATGAGGAAGACGACAAGACGACCTGTCAACCTTTGGTTAATCATGCTGATGATCCTGGAATTCATGTACATATTCTGAAATCAAAATCGAGCAGTTATGCCAAATTTTGTACCTTGTACCTTAATGCTGGCAGAAAAGTTGCTTCATCTGAAAAAAGTATGCTCTGAAGATATAGTCATCATGAATCTTCTATAACAGGTTCACAACCACATGTCCCTACAGATTTTGATATCTTTATCATGGAATCCCTGGATTATGTGTAATTTATAGGCTTTCACAAGCAAATATGCTTGTTTAGAGTATTGCAAAAGATTGATTTTCCTACCTCTATTGAATTGAGCTCAGTGATGGTCCTAATAATCAAAAGGGAATCAGCAGATCATGTTAAAAATTCATGTTGAAAGTGCTGGTAAAAAAAAAAAAAAAAAAAACCTGAAACTCTATCCAATGTATGTTTCATTATCCTGCAATTTAAAAAAAAAAATACTGAAATTTGTCCTGCCTTTTGCATCCTTACAGTCTAACATAGTGTTGATATGTATGGAATAAGATACCTCTCTAAACTCTCACCTTTGAATTACATTACAGGAGAAATCCAGTCCAAACTTTTTTGCAAGGGGCTTGAAAATCTCCAAGGTGTAGTCTATCTGAGGAGCAAAATCTGCATTTGTTCCACCTTTAAGTATGAGGGTTGATGAGCCCTGTGCAAATGCAAGGCAAGGAAGGGCAACTTGGAGAAGGAGTCCAACACTCCTAGAGAAAATGGATCAAGAAAGCCAATTGCATCTCCTCCAACTTTGTCAAAATGTCAAACAAATGTCAAAAATACGAAGTCATCATATGAAGTTAAAATATCATACTTCATTTCAAACATGTCAAAAGTTTAGCTGCTGGATATCTGCAATTAATGCAACCATGAGAATCAGATGGTCTGCTCTCCTCTTTTTAAGTCATGTCTGGCTGCAAGGTCATAAAATGTCAGTTTTTCTGGGGTGAATGTCAAGGGCCAAGTATGTGGAGTTTTCTTCTTAAACTTGAAATGAGCCTAAATGTACAATTTGAAAAAATCCTACCCGTACATTCCAGCTATAAAAGTGGGCAGAGCTTGCCTTGTTTTCTATTCAATATGACCCCTCATATTTCTGGGAAATTCAGGGATTGGGATAGGATGGCTAAACCTAGCCATTGCCTTTAAAAAATACTGAATTGCTGACTTCAAAGGTCAGTGTGTTTTGCATAAGCTCAAAATTTCACATTCTCTTTTGATTCATGTCTTTCATTATCACTCTTGCTCAGCACAAATTGAAGACAATGAGAGAATGACTGGAAAGTGCAATACTGAGCTCTTAAGACATCTTTGATCCATTCTGGACATGGATATGTTAGCAATTAGGGCTGAGAAATCAAGACTGCTTGGCTCCAAACTGCTGAACAGATCTGAAAAGGGGCAAGGGATGCATTGATTCCCCAAGAACATGGAAAGTTGCATTTGAGCCTCCTAGGTTGGGACCATACCTAACTCCCAATATTTAAGTGCATACTGACCATTGGACCAAACACAAAAGAAGGATTCTTGGTTATAGACCAAATGAGCATAGTCCTTTGCTAATGAGACTCATGAATTCAGCCATTAAGCCACTACTAGCTCCTCAACTGCCATTCTCCTTGAGGATAAGGAGACTTGCCAGTTCTAGTCCAGCATGGGGTTAGTTGTCACCACCTGAGGCTACCACCATCTGTGTCTTGGCTTAGCCCTATCAAACCCTTCAATAATGCATTTTTTTCAGTAGAAAAAAATTCCTAGTGAATCATACCTACCTTTTTCATGGGATACATGAATAGAGGTAGGTTATTACCAGGCCCAAAGATGATCACATATGTTCTCTGTTGAGGTCATTCATCCAGGTGGTGTAGGTGGCAACAAAATAATAAAAATCAAGGCAGTATGTATGTATAGGATATCCAACAGATGTTGAGTTAATTTATTGTCTCAATCACATGAGGTTACAGAGAAAATGGCAATCAGTATGGCTTACATTTTATTGGAGGACACGTAGCTAATGAATTTCAGGTTGTACTAAGGCAGTAAGGCACAAGTCACCTAATGATGGAAATGTGACATGACAGTAAAAGGTAAAAAGAAAAAGGACCATTCATTTGTTATGTTTCTGATTGCATCAGATGAGGACTGACTTAAAAAAAAAGGGGGCTTATGAGAAGTGTCCTTGGGGAAAGAGAACTTATGAGATAAGAGTGAGGGACAGGTGAAGAGTCCCTGGCCTCCAACTAGTCAAGAAAGTTTTATATTCTTCATCCACCCCACAATAGCCAGGCTAAGCAGCAATACACCAGACAGTCAGTTGTTCCAGGGGTGGTGGCAGAAGGAAATGACTTCCATGCAGCTTTGGATGCCAGACCTCCACATCTCACTGTGTAGCTATTTGCACCCAGTGCCAAAGATTATACAGGGTGGGCCACTTAAAAGTAGCCTGCCTCCTATAATACTGCGACAGACAGACAGTCGGTAAGAACTTTGTGCAAGGGCGACCACCTCTGCCATGCTCGGACCAGAGGCGGGCTACTTTTAAGTGGCCCACCCTGAATTTTGGTGCCAAAGGGAGTTATTGTAAATAAACAAATAAATGAAATCATAAAACCTTATTAAATTCTGTGTCTTTTGGCATAAAAATCATTGTTCTAATCCAAAAATTACAAATGTTATCACTATTAAAAAAATTTGGAATGACTTTACAAACAACCAGTAGATTACTAATGATAAACAGTGAGCCATGGGAGAAGGAATAAAATGTGTCTTAGATGACATTATGACCATTTAGAGCCTCAAACTATTTATGGTTTGTACTGTATCATACCATGTTTTGTGTAGTGATAGGCCCAGAACCAAGCACAGGCAGATAAGTAACATTATCCACATATTGCAGCTATCTGATTCTATCTATCTTGCCTTCCTGTCTGTTATAATGGAGAAATAGAACAAAGTAGCAAACCAGAAGTATGAATATGCCCACTACATCAGTTAACACTTTCCTTCCCCAATGTTCTGAAGGTGGGACAAAACAGTTCTTTTTTTGCTCAAGTCTATCTCAAACTAGAAGCTGCTTTCAGATTCTTGATATATTGCATTCATGAATATTGCTCATGCCAATACTTTACTAATGAATGAGTACAGCATGATCCAATGTGTATCAGCTTAAGCACACAATGAGAGTGAAATGGTGGCAGGCCATCATCCTACAAGACCACTGATAAAAACTTGATACATAACTGTTTGATATAAATATAGACCAACAAACCCAGCAGTCTTTGTATCCCCATGGAAATTCCCATGAGAAATTGACTCAGGATACAGAGTAATCTCAGTGGAACCAATCTGATCTCCAATGAGGCAGCCATTGCAGATTTGTTTCACTAACTGAATCCCTGCAAGAAGGAAGAGGTATGAAAGTCACAAGCTTTAATGTTTAATGCATCCTATTCATAATGATCCTTCTGGACTCAAAAAAAGATTAGTACCAGGTTGCATTTGGTGACATGAAAAATACAGAACATTTTGGTTTTTCATGTCTTTTGGTCTGGCAGTGAATCCAGTGAATTGTACCTCCTTGGTAATACAGTAGCTATGCAACATTTCAGTGGGTGGTTAACCTTCACACACCAAGCCTATCCATATTCAAACAGAGCATGTCAGTGGAAAATTTTGAATTTAGCCATATTCAAAGTGCATGTAATCTTCCTTTCCACACCTATAAAAGGAAGATTCCATGCTCTTCGAATATGATAACACTTGGATTTTTCCACATAAATGCTGTGTTCAAATATGGCAAAATTTGCATTTTTCCAATTTCATGCTCTGTTTGAATTTGAAAACATTTGGCATCTAAAGGTTAAGAAGTAACTGATACATTTGTTTATTCTTTTAATTGATGGATTTATAAAGCTAACTGGCATTTGATCAATAAATTTTGTAGTTTTTTCAATACCAAACAAAGGCACCTTTATTCTTAGGTCTTGTAGTAACAGGTTTAAACATGTGCACCATCACTTTCAACACAAGCCAGCAACATAAAATACCTTGGCATGAGTCCTTCATTCCCTGGATTAGCCTCCAGTGGAATTTTTTTTCTGTTGGGGTCATATCAAGAGCAAAGAATATACCACAAAGCTTGATATAGTCTTTTACAACTGCTAAGTCCAAGCGATCAAGTCAGAGACTCTCTAATACTGCATATGAAACTGTGGAATTAGTGTGTTGGAAATGAAAATGCACATCAAAAGTCTATTACTAATACATCCAATGGTAAAGGTCTATATAATTGATATGGAAAAAAAGTTCCATAATAAATAAACCTCCTACACTATTTTGTTTTCTTAATCAAATCTTGTTCAAACAAAAAAATATATAAAATAAATATTAGTTACTTGTGAATCACCCTGCTTCAGTTGAAAAATGTCATCACCCTGAAGGAGCATTTCTGGCCCAGAAAAGGGAAATGTATTTGGATGCATTTAATTTAAATTAATCCCTTTTCCTTTGACTCATTTGGAGATCCTTTGAGCCTATTCATAACCCTTCTGGTATGACATGAAGAAAAATTGTATGAATTGGTTGAAATGTGGAATGGGATCATAATCTGGCTTGTAGACATTTCATTTTTAGAGCAGGGATACATGGTGGACATTCATGTTTTAATGAGTAGAACATATTGGCCTATGTGGAAATCAATTGAGGTTTTAATCACAATGTGTTCCACTTCCTAAATGGTGATAGAATTGCACTAGTATTTATTAGTTGCATTTGGATATATTAGGCTGGTTGAACTATGAGAGAAATACTTTGTCATTAGCCACATCATTCATTATTTCTGCCTTTTTGTTTTTCATCCTTATAGCTCATAGGAACACATTGCTGCTATTGGCACTCACTATGCCACTAATTTCCAACCAAGAAAGTCAAGCTAATTTGACTGTCATACAAGTGGATAACTAGGTTTCTCCTATACATGTTCGTGTTCCCTGTGAAACTCACCTGTAAGGTGCTGAGCTTGAAGTCCAGGATTTGGTCTTCCTGCACGGATATTGTATACCCGAACAGGCTTGCGTAAGATTGCACCCAGAGCCATGCCCATTCTCAAAATCTGTCCACCCTAGGAAATAAGTTGCCATACACTGTCCAGAGAAAAAAAGTTCAAGAGGAATGAAATCATTTCATGAAAGAAGTAAATTAAAAAGTAAAGAAGCAAAGAAAAGGCAATGAAAATAGTAAAATAAAAAAGACAGGCACAGTACATCTGTACAAGCTTCAAAGAAAAACTTACTCCTTCCATATAACTGCCATCAAGGCTAGTCACTTTTTCAGTACTTCCATCCATCCCAAATGACTGGCTTGATGCATCAGTCATGTTATTGGACTGGTTACACCTATGAGAAAAAACAGGCAAACATTAGACCCACACATTGATTTGCTTACAGTTGGTGTTTCTGAGTCTTCAAGAAAAGAAAGATAATTCTCCTTCAATTGTGACTGAATTCACTCCAAATGTTTCTGACTTGATATCATACTATTTGATTAACTCAATGGGCTTTAATATGAAAAAATTAATATAGTTTGCACAGTTGATAAAAAAATGTATTGGGCATCAGAATCCAAATTCAATGTAGGCCTACTGTACCGTAATGGAAACATTAGTGTTTGCCAAATGAGTTCAGCATGGGCAAAAGCTAATGTTAGGAGGTAGAAAACCTTGAAAATGTACATATAATCCAGTACTCCAGGAAGGGTTGAAGGAATAGATCTACACAAGGTGGAGATGTGAGTAGAGACTTTGGGCCTCTTTTAGGAAAGGTCTAAGATATATACAGTATTTGGAAGCCATTTCTGGACTTATTTGGATTTTCCCTAAAGGAAGCAAAACTGACCATGGTTAATATTACTTCACAGGATTGCAACCTTGAGAATGGAGTGATTTATGCTCCCTGTAAGAAACTAAATGCCCTCTTGACTTTGGGTTGCACAAAAAAGCACCCAAAACTGGTTATTTTCTCTGCAGGTTTATTGGTACCAGTAAACTACTACCTGCCTTAAGAGCCAGAAGTACTTTGCCATAGGTATTATGAATGAATTGAGGTGCGATTTTTTTTTTTTTTAGCTTGAAGTGGATAATAATGTGCATGCAACTTCAGTGCATACATATTTAAATTTATTTCCTCTAGAATAAGCCTTCCCTATAGTTCCTTGAGTACATTCGTGTAAGTCAGTTTCTAATGGTTGGGTACTTCTGCCAAAATTAGCTCAAGATAAATTACACACGTTATTGGGAATTACATCGCCTGGACACATCAGCGGGATCCAAAGGAGGCCTAGCCTAACTTCTAACTTGAAGTCAAGACATAACATACTTCTGTGCGATCTAGACAATAATTTCATTATTAGCTAGCAGGCTGAAAAAACTTGGTGAGATATACTCATGCTCATGCCGATTGTACTCCGGAATTTCAGGCAGAATATATTTTGAAGACCCATCACAGCGAGAGGAGAGCGATAAACCCTCAACTCTTAAGTTACCGGTCATGTACTGCACTGGAGCCTTTGCGCACGCTTTAGCCGGTCGTCACTTGGCCCTTCCCCCCTCCCCCTTTAAATCCAATACGTTACGCTGACGTCATCATACGACTTCCGTGACAGAGTAAACTCGCGGGAGTGAGCAAGCAAGGGCGTGCCCCAAGGCATTACATTTTGTGTGATATCCAAATCATGGAGGCTCAAGAACTGACGCTTTGCCCCACAGAAAACTCATACAATGGAGAACAGTTCGTGGAAACGTCTTGGTCAAATTAGATCAGCTGTCATCAAATCAATGTTTGAGTCTTGTAGTACAAAAATGAGACCCTCTCTTTGACCATCGATCTCATTGAATCCCATTGAATGATCTCATTTTCAAGAGACCATTCATTATTCTGATGGTTTCGTAAAGAAGTGAGTGTATTGGTGTCAAACCTAAAAAAAATCAGTTCTTCACGACAATCCCAATGGAAGAGACAGCTTAAATGAAGATATGTTGCAAAAAAGTTATAGATTGTAGAAATATCCTCATGAGAAACCTCAATGGAGATGGTAATACACTATTAGTCAAACTAACCAAACGAACATCAACGGGCAGCTAGAATTATCATTGCACGTTGACATGCATATGTGAGACTTGTCTTATGAAAATAAAACGTTGACGCTTATTAGTACAAAAGCTGCTGGTGAAAAAGCTTCCCCTTATGCAAAAAAAAAATTAGGTCACTAAAAACAACTGTTAAAATTGCACCCTTCACCAACAAAGCTAGTACGAAGCTTCCAAACCTTTAGGTAATAATTCCTTCAATTGAAAATAGGGGATCCGCGCGGGAGGGGTGCAAAAGTAGAGGCAGTTTTAGAATAACATATGCTGTGTGACTCTTAGTGGTGCTGAAACGGACGACCTACTTAAGTTCAATTGATCTCTTCTGTTTTAGAAGATCGGGCACACTCCCAGCACCCCTGACTGATACTGGGAATGGCGTTGTCAGGACAACAGACTAAGGAAAAATAGCAGACCGTAGTGGAATTCTTGGTCGCTGAGAATGTGTAAGGACGGATTTGTCGGCGGTTGCAACATGTGTATGGGGCGGGTGCCATGACAGAAAGACATTTCAAACTTGGGCGAAATCCACGATGACAAGCGAAGTGGCAGACCTCGTACCGCAAGAACGGAAGTGAACCTTCATTCACGACGACTCATCGAATCGCGCAGCGCCGAAATAATTTGACTCCCTGGAATTGGGCGACATTTTACTGTTTACATTTCCAGCTATTGGTAGTCATTTTGAAACATAGATGTAATCAATCGGTCTTCAGTTGTTCATGGGTAGAATTCAGGACTGAAAATACAAACCTAGTGAAAAGGAGCACAAGATGGGACTGTATCTTTTGAGGGATTTCTTTCTGATATCCATTCTGATTTTTTTTTGTTTATTTATGATAGTCAACAGCTCATCGAAAGCGCATTTGCATATCAATCCTGCAAATACAGTATGTGACTAGAGGTTCGGCCATTAGTTCCAGGTCGCTTTCAAATACTTATTTTCATACCATTTCCTGTCGTAATAGCAGGTAGTGGATGCTCAATATGGCAGACAACGGTCCTCATATTTAACATTATCTTATTTATGAGCAGGTGAATTTGAAGAGGTTCTAACTTACTTGCGCGACTTCCAAGAAGTGCGGACCTTACAACACCTGATGACAGCTTGAGGGGGAGTCACCAAAGAAAATTCCACCTAACTTCAATTTGATTCAGAGGAGAAATTGCGGAGTACAGTACATTCATACATTTTCGATACCGCTTTTCCGAACTTAATGGGGTTTCGATTCGAGCATGCCCAGGAGCGTTCTCCAATAATCTCGATCCTGGGTAACAGACTCAGGCTCAGCTGGTGGAATGCCGACCCTCCGGTGACAAATCCGAGCAACGTAATCGCTCCACCTTGGACGAGGTCTACCGACAGGTCTTTTGTCGGTCATCTTGGCCTGGAAGACTCCTCTTGGAAGTCTCTCAGAGGGTATAAGGTAGGCATGACCGAACCACCTGACCTGAGACATCTCAATCCTGAGAAGCAGTTGCTCGACGTGGAGGCTCTCGCGTTTGGCAGAGTTCCGCATCCGATCACGGCGCGCTACGCCAACCACTCGACGCAAGAACCTCATTTGTATCAGCGATCTGGTTCTTTCGGTCATTATCCAAAGTTCATGATCATAGGTGAGGGTGGGGAGATAAACACATTAAAAAACTGAGTTTCACTTCCCTAGAAACTTCTGATCTGGCAACCACAGTTCGCCTAAGTTCCCGCAGAACTGCGGTAACTGCAGAAACCATGGAGATGCGGCTGTCGATCTTGTTTCCATGACTCCCATCACTCGAGGTACTTGAACTTCTCCTCCTGTTCCAGAGGGGCCTCGCCGACATGATGGGTGCACTGTACAGAATTTCTCGAGAGGACCATGACCTGCGTCTTGGAGACGCCCAGTTTCATTCCGGCCGCAGTGCATTTGGATTCGAACCAATCGTGCACGCTCTGGAGCTTCTGTCGAGAACGGTTCAAAAGGACGGCATCGGCGACAAAGGCATCCTTACCGTGATATCTACTACTACCAAGCTACTGGTTCCCTACAAATTTCCATGGCATTTGCCTCCTGACGGGCCGTCACTGACCTGCTGGGACCCCAAGAGATTCCTTCAGGGGCCTTGTCGGGTTAGCCATGTTGGAATGTGTCCAAGGTGGATCAAAACTGTAAAAGAACAGCAAATGCCGAAAAGATGAAATAACTGTCATTTACAGGTCGTTTTAGGATTGTCTGCTGTCAGAGGAATTGTTGACTATCTTTTAGAAGCTTACGTAATGGAAAAGCTCTGAAAAAGGGTAGAGTCGTTAGACAGGAATTAGTAAGACTTCGAATAGTAAGACTCCGTCCCTCTTGTCGCAACGGCGCCCCATTGAAGATAATGATTTTCTTCCCGGATATTGTTCGGGTGGGGTTTGACGCTTCCCATGGGCTTGGAAGAGTCGACTTCGAGGGGGTCGACTCTTCGAAGCCAATGAATGAAAGCAGTGAATAAAACATTCGTTTCAGCTACTGCTTTCAGTGGGTTTCGGATCTGAATCTGTTCGTCTTTGATCCTGTTGCCCTCTTGCCCACTTCTCAACCTCTCATCGCCAGTCAGAAATTTTGACAACCGTGTCACGTAACATGGCAGCCGCCTAGGTGTGTGGATCATGCCTCCACTAACCTTACTCCCGGTGAATCTATTGCAGAAACATTCTGTTGCCACTTTTACAATGCTCTTGGATCTTTTTGTATCCAAATTTTTGCACAAGTCCACCCCTAACCTTACCTAGGCCAAGACTCGTTGAGCCTATTTAGGTTTATCTTACAATTTCTACAAATGCAATATATTTGAATCTTTCATAAACCACTTCCAATCCATGCTGATTGCTGATCCACCAGCTGATCTACACACCTTCTTGTACATGTCATAAATCAAAGGTGTAAAATGCATATATTTTATACTTGGAAATGTCCTATCTAACGATGTGGAGATTTGTTGATGTCTGCTGCTGACATACTTCTGAAAGAACCATCTGACTTAAATTTATAAGCTAAATGCTGTCTTTACATTGAGAAGTGGCATTTGAAGTTATATACAAGGGATGTTCAATAAGTGGTGACTGCACCTTAAAAATTTTTTCTTAAAACTTAACACATTCACCGCCACAGCAATGTGGACCTATTGATTTTCCCATTCAGTGAGGCACACCAGTGTGTCTCGTGGCAGTCAACATGTTAAAAGCTTCAGAGCTCTTTAACATGAATACTCTTTCAGATCCTCCTGAGCCACTTTTTAAATTCCTTTTTATAAGCTTTTTGTGGTATCCCTTCAAGTGCTCTCTGTTCAGCTCTGTTAAGGTCTTCAATTCAGTGAATCTGCCTCCAGGTGAAGTTTTCTTTGAGTGTAGGGAATGACCAGATGTCTATGGGAACCAAGTCAGGAATAGGGTGGATAGAATAAGACTTCAACTTTTTTCAAAAAGCATCTGGGTCACCCGAACCTAATGGCTGGAAGCATATTTGTTGACCCTCATCCAGAAAAAAATTAAGTTGAATTCCTATCCTATTCACCCTATTCCCCTGACTTGGTCCCTCTGAACATCTAGCTGTTCCCCTGCCTGTAAAGAAAACCTCACAGAGGCAGTTTCACTGAATTGAAGACCTTAGCAGGGCTGTATAAGGTGTGCTTCAAGGAATGCTACAAAAAGCCTATAAAGAGGGATTTCCAAAGTGGCTCAGGAGGATCCAAAGGTGTGTTCATGTTGATGAGGATTATGTTGAAGGACTCTAAAGTTTTTAAGGTACGGTCACTACTTATTGAATGTCCCTTGTGTTATGCCTATATGTACTGCAATTATATGAATTTGCATAAAGTTAGCATGAGATGTTGTCTGTATCCAATATGCCAATATAAGGGTTCCATAATTTCAAATACTGATTTTTAGATCTGGGTAGTTAAACAATACTATGCCTACAATGCACCCTAGAAAGTAATCAGTACAGTGAGTTATTTCAAAGTAGGCTTGAAGCCCTTCTTTAGTATGGGAGTGCAGGCAGGATTGTTTTCATGAAATGCTTATTTGTATTTACAGTGTTTTTCACTTGAGTCCAACAATTTGTGTTTAACTTGGGCACTTGTCCATTGGATATTTTTCATGCATGATTGTTGCAGTTGAATGAAAAAATGTCTAACTCAAGTGAAGAACACTGTATAAGGCAATATTTCAATATTAATGTCTGTTTGTTAGCATTCCAATTATTGCTAATTCAGATGTGAATACTAAACAATATATAATATGGCAGGTAATATTTTTACATCCTTCCTGAAAAGTGCAGTTCACCAATTCACTATTATATACTTGCATTCATTGGAGTCAGAGGAAGAATGCCTAATCATTTCCTGAAGAATTGTACCCCTTTCTTATTTGTATCCACATTCCATATATGGTGCACTCTTTTCCACTTAGCTGTTTTTATCCTTACATGTTTGGGCCAAGGGTCAATATCAAACTCAAAGGGTCAGTGTCAAACTAAAGGGAATGGCAACCAGGTATCCTGTATGCTCTTTCTCTTTTTGAGCTTCAAGTGGAAGCATTGATTACCTAATGTTACAAACTATTTTCTTCTTTTTTTTTTAACCAGGTGGCATTTGTTAGCTGTACTTATTAGATGCTTGCTCTCCAGCAGTAGTTCTTGATGAGATGATTCTTGAAGAATGGGATTCCTTGATAAGCTAGTCTCATTGTTCGGAATTAAAAAGAAAGAGTGCCGTGTTGTGGTTGTTGGATTGGACAACAGTGGCAAGACAACTATCTTGAACCATTTCAAGCCTACAGAAGCAAAGGACACTCTCATCGTTCCCACAATTGGATTTGCTGTTGAGCAGTTCAAATGTAAGTTATCCTTATAGGTAGGTCACTTGATGCTCTACATGATGCATTATAGATTTTACCCACATTAGGATTTCTTTATGCACTTTAATTTGGGATTGTAGCCTAGATTTTTCAAACATTCTGGATGGGTCTCAGAAGACTCTGAAATTGTTCTGAGTCATTATAGATTCACTGGATCTGCATTGTCATTGTCTTAGGTGTTTGTCTCCCAGTAAGAAACGACCTGTATTTCCATTTTTTTTGTATGAGCTCTTGTCATATTCCATACCTCTGTGCCATATACCCATGAAGGCATCTGTGCTTTCAGAAAAACTTTTCTTGAAGTTTGGGACTATATCCATGACAGGGTTGAATCCTTGAATCTTTTATCTAGTTTCTTGTTAATTTGCATAGATTAATCTGGAATTTGGATACATGATCAAAGGCTGGGGATGATCTCACAGGGGTTGTGCTAGGTTTCTTGCCATAGGAGTCCCTGGGACTCTCAGGTCGGATATGCAAGGGTCCCCTGATAATTAAGGGGTTACTTTCCAAGTGAACCTTGAGGGAAAATTGAAGCATTCCCCAAAAGTAGAAGTCTAGCTATCCATGTTTATTTGCCAACTTAATATAATCAAGAAGTATGATATTCAATCCAGCAGTCTTAGGCCTTCCGCCTGTGCATCCCAGGGGGTCCTGGGACTCCTGGGATGCATGGGCAGGTGGCCAGGACAAGAAACTTAGCGAAACCCCTGTCATGCATATTGGCTGGTGCCAGTGCCATTGCTGATCATGGCAAATAGTGGAATAGCCAAAAATGGGTTCCCTGTCAATTCCCCAAATGGTCAGTAAATTTCATTCATTTGTAAATTTCATATTGATGAATTCTATGATGATGGCACGAAGGTATTTGTTTCTGAAAAAGTTTCCAGTCTCCCACATCATACATTGAGGAATAAGGGGGTAGGGAATGCAGCCACCCCCCAACCAAGCCAGAACTGAAGTGAGGGAGGTCTAGGCAAATGGAATGAAAGGGAAAAGTCGCTAATATGCTCTAATCCTGGAGGGGGAGAAATCATTTAGTTATTTGCCCCCCCCCCCCCTTAGGAACCTTGCTTCACCTAGGGAACATGACTACAGATAAAATGCCAGTCAGATCACTGATAAAGATTCCTATGGGAAAGGAAAAGAAAGATGAAAAAAGGCAATAGAAATGGTTGCAGGTTAATCCTCTCAAACACCACAGATGAAACTATCAACAGGACATCTATCAAGATCTAAAATGGGACTATATATAAAGAAGTCAGATGGCTCAGGGATTGGATCATTGTGGTCAGTCCATGGACTGTGTTTAAGTTCATGGATTCATGGAGTTTGTGAAGAGCAAAAGGAGAGAGAATTTTCTTGTTCCATTGGACTACGTGCTCACCAAGAACAAAATGAGTGGGGATGGACAGAGAATTTATTGGGAGTATGACATTATTTTTTTAGTCGGTACTGTCTGGGAAAACATTTCGATAGAAACCCTCCTTTCACCATTAAATCAAAGTGAAACTTTTTATCAGGTAGTGTTATCTTGTTATTTGTGTTGTTCTCTTGTGTCCCTTCAGAGACAAGCAAGGGGTTGACCATAATCCGCCCATGGACATGAAGGGGACTGGGTGGCATTTAGTTTTCAGCTATTATTCCTGATACAGAAAGAGTGTCATTTGAGCAGCTACTCTCAGATTAGGACTTTGCTGGTATCTGAATTTTAGAAAATCCATAAAGAAGGGAATTTATTCACATAAGAAACCATGCAGTCAATTGCCCTCCATCTGCAACTTTAAGTTCACTGATGTGTAACATTGGGGAATTGACCTTCGGGAAATTGACCAGACACCCCAAAAATGTCATATGCTTATTCTTTATTCAACTTCTTTAAGAGCAACAGGCAAGCAATTTGTGACATCATAATTCTTGATTGTTCTTCACAGAAAACACATGCAATTTCTGCAGAAAGAGGCAGAAAATTTAGACTGCCTGAAGCCTATTGAGCAGAGCCAAAGCCATTGAGAGTTACTGAATCATATATATGTAATGTATTAGTCATTGAAGAAACAACAGTGAATAATATGATCCCATGATAGAAATGTGTAGGCCTAAGTTTTGAGGCTGTGAATGGTTCAGAAATGGATATATATTTTTTTTTTTTCATTGAAAAACCATTGTGTATGGCTGTGCTTGTTTCCTAGATAAGAATGTGGTCTTCAGTGCCTGGGACATGTCTGGTCAGAGTCGCTACCGGAACTTATGGGAGCAATATTATCGAGATTGTCAAGGAATCATCTTTGTGATCGACAGTGCAGACTCCTTGCGTCTGGTTGTGGCCAAGGATGAACTTGACATGTGAGTTTCGTTCTCTAAAGGCACAAATGAGAATTTCGAAGAGGATTGAGAATATTGGATGGACTTTTCTTTATGGCAAGGGTAGGCTGGAAATGCTGGACTTTTTAAGAGCTTGTACAGGTGTACCTCCCTAAAATCCTGAAGAAGGTTTAATAATAAAATGTCTGCTACAATCGTGCATTAATATTAAGTTTGTAATTTAACAATTTTCATTTGTATTGAAATATCACAATTTAGGGAAATGTTCATTGCCCTACTTGCAGACAGTGCTATATGACAATTTATTCTGTTACATTGTGAAATAGGTATTTAAAAAAAGGATAAACTAGACTTCATTGTTGTCAAATAAAATAAAGATGGTTGCTAGACAGGTTACATGAGTTGTTTAGTGTTTGGATGCATTGATCCACTTGCTTAAATTCATGTTTTAGGCTTTTGGAGCATGAGAACATTCAAGCACGACATATCCCCATACTTCTATTTGCAAATAAAATGGATCTGAAAGATGCCATGTCGCCTTTGGAGATATCTCGGAGTCTCGAACTCAGTAAGCTGCAGGTATGTTCCCTTCAGTTGATTTTACTTATCAGTACTAATAGTACAACTAGTACAGTCTGTGATACGAGGACCTATCGAAGCTCGTAACGTTTTTATTTTTGTTTTTCAATGTTTTATTTGTTGCCAGAACACCTATACCTTCCACTTCGAGGTGTTATTCTCCCCTTAAACTTTGCCCCTTTGAGTCTATGCACTTCTTCCAGCGGGTGTAAAGTTGGTGCGCGTACGTCTGTAGTCCGTCCTTCGGAAGGGTATGCAGTTCACTTTTCATGGGGGTCGTGATCAAGTCTCTATTGGCAAGTCCTTTACATGGAACTGAGTTGCGGGAAGAAGAAACAGTCACAGGGTGCCAAGTCCAGAGAAAACGGTGGTTGGCTGATGACAATGATTAGGCGGCACGCTAAAAAATTATTGCTGCAACTCAATTCCATGTCGATCCAGATCCAATTTCGTCGATCGGGATTCAATCATAATTCTCATAACTAATGAACTTCATATCCTTCCAAAGGACGTGCTACAAACGCGCGCGCAACAACTCTACACCCGCTAGAAGCACAAGAGGACAAAGTTTACGGGATCATGTCACCTTGGATTGGAAGGTATGTATGTCATGACACAAAATATGTAATACTTCAATTGAAAGAGGCCGAAAGATGTGGTGACTGTCACTCCTAATGCGCGAGGGCCTACGATGCTATGCCATTCTAGGCCATAGGCCAGGCCATCCACGGCCTAAAGCTCCAGATTTACAAGTCTCAATCATTCTGGGACACAGGCTACGCCATTCTCATTATTTGTGAGGTGTGCTCTCGATGATAATAAAATTATCTGGGTGGCAACACTTTCGAGCTTCTCGAGGTTCGTCTGAAAATTTTTAATATTTGGTTTGAACCGAATTACTTCATATCTCAATGTAAACATTTTCAAATGTCCGCTCATTAGACGGCCAGCGTAGCGACCGCAGGCCGCTAGTATGTATACAGTATATCCTCAGACTTGTTGATAGGTCTTCTTACATTGAAGCCCGTTCTAGTTTTCAGCACTGGGACAAAAAAAAAGGGCGAAAAAAAATGCAAGTTTTGGGGAAAAGTTCATCATGAATTATAACTAGGGCCGTCACGATGGGTCGATGCATCGATACCGCTATCGATAGTTTTTTCGACTATCGCGATGTATTGGCAAAATGTTTGAAGGGAAATGTCCCTTTGGAGTGAGACGAGTACAGTATGATACATTCCGTCCGGGCGGGAAAGGAGGAGGGGGCGTGACCCGCACGGGCGAGCTATTTCTTATCAAGATAAAATTCTGGAAATGCTGGGATTGACTGTATGAAAGACTGGAGGGGGGGGGGGGGGGGGGGGGGGGGAAAAAAGAGGCATTTGCCCCCATCAGGAAAATGGCTAACTTATTTCATACAGAGCAGGGGTTGCACTAATCTTCTTGCCTTAGGGTTCCCAGGGAAATGGAATCGGAGACAAGAAGTGGGAGAGGAGAGGGAAGACCGAGAATATTTTTTCTCTTCTGTTTCATTCTCGGCTCGATCTCAGGTGCATGGTGTGAAAGTGGACTGTTTTTTAACTCCCTGATTTTGAAACGTACATTGGTACATAGAGAAGGGGATTGCCCTCTCTATATTACGGTCTTTCTCTTCAGTAAGCAGGCTTGAGCTTTTGAATTTTTAACTTACCCATGGACGTTTTACCTCTTTACTTAAGATGAACCCAATGGGAATTTTTATTAACATGGACGTCACTTGAATCTAGGGGCTGTATCGATGACCCTCCAAGACCGTGTAGAACAGTGATGAGCAACCTTTTTTTGACTGCGGGCCGTCAGTGAACCTTTTAGATTCCCGGCGGGCCGTATACATTTTTTTAAATACTGAATTACAGGCTTTATGCCTGCAGTACCAAAGTAATCCTAAGCCCAGCTTTGTAAACTAGACTGTAAAATTGTAGATACTAATGATATGCAAAGAACTCATTTTGAATTTTTAAATAATATTTTTACTAGGCAAAATACCAAGCAAGCCGCTTGCTCCGAGAGCAAGCGGATATATAGCATTTGTTATATTTCTTGCTTCCGTATCTGCTGCAGTGGGTAACGGAATCCTTGAGCACACGTGCGCTCTACTCCGGGTGGCAGATACGAGGGGAAAAATATTCGGTTGGCAAAGCCTCGCGGACCGCGGGTTGCTCATCTGGTGTAGAACGAGGAAAAGGGGGGGGGGGGGGGGGAAACACGGGCGGGGGCTGGGCNGGGGGGGGGGGGGGGGGAACTACGTGCATGGGCTTGGCAACTGAATCTCAACGGCTACACGAAAAAAAAATTAAGGCTGTCCTGATGCATCCATCGATGAATGGATGTCATTTTTGGAGCCATGGTAGGCTTCATTGCTCGTTGGGAAGGTCACACCTTCCTCCCGATCACAAGCGTGAGATTACGGAAGACTGATAGAGGTCCACGCCCCGATCGAGGCAAGAAACGACCGAAGTGAAACTCCCGGCCGATCGCGGCGAGTCCAGATTTAATCCTCCGGCACTCCCTCCCCCCTCCTCGGGTGCATCGATACACTATCCATAGTTCAGGTCAGATACATCGATGCTTTGAAAACTGCCATCAGCCCTAATTATAATTGAAAACTTCTTTTAAAGTCTCTTTTCGTTAAGGCTAGGGCTCCTGCCAAGCTGGACGGGCACCCCCTCTAAATGAATTGCCATGAAAGAAGCGGACACCTACCCTTTTATTTCCTTCGGGCTTGGTCAGAAATAAGAAGCATGACTGTTCTGGGAGATATACAAGAAACCAATGCCGCATAATGAGTTGTCGATTATTTCCCAGAACCAGTTTAAGAATTTAAATGTAAAAAATTGATTTTTACGCGGTGTTCTTGAGAGAAGGCCCTGGAACATAAATGAAGTCATGACGCGCAGTGGCACCGCAAGTAACGAGAGACCGAAGCATGGAATTAGCGTCGAAACCGTTCTTGTAATACGAATAAAGGGACGTCATTTTCTGCTAAAGCAAATACCGAACCAAGCTGCACGATATTTCGGGACTAGAAAGAGACGAGAAAAGAAACCAAATATGCTTGAGAGAGCGAGACTAGAAAGGGTCATGAATTTACATGGTCGCAATACCCTGTGAGCAACGACCTAAAAATAAAAAAATTAGTTAGCCTAGCCGGATTTTTTTTTTTTCATTTATTGGCGGTGCACAAAGAGAAATCGAATTGCATGCAAGAAAAAATTTCAAAATAAATCTTCATCTTTGATGTGTCTCGGCTCTCGGTATTCCCACCCACATCAGTCTCTGTGAGGAGGTTGGGGGGGGGGGGGGGGGGGGGGAAGAAAAAAAGGAATGAAATTCACATCTTCCGAAAACGAGTCAGTGGTCTCCACAACCCCAAGGAGATGGGGCTTCAAATTTGCTAGAGCGATTCTATGTTGTGAGAGGAAAAAGTATGCTGAATTTTGTTCATATTGTCCTCTCAGAGAGGAACATGAAAAGGTTCAATCTTGCTGCGGGAAGATGTTGAAGAAAGGTACTCGTAATAGGCTCTACCACGTCTATTGATTCTTAGCTCTTCATTGACCTTATTCTGGAACATCCCCGAAGTGACAGACCTTCGCGCTGCTGATCTTCCCGCTTTCTCGACATCTGCTTTCCACCTGGACCCCGATGATGAGATGGGAGCGGGAGCTTTCATCGTTCATTAGCGTTGAGGCAGTTCGGCGGCTCCTCACGCCCATGGCGAAAATTTCGCACAGCACCTCCGCGGAATTTGCTGGTAGAACCGTGGCTCCGCGTACGTGCGCTATGCCTGTCGCACCCCATGTGACCTTTGGTTCTGTGGAGAATCATGGATTATTCTTTCACAGAGTTTCCTTATTGGATTTGGAAACAGATAATAAATTCACGTGGGTTCTTTTACTGCCTCTTATAATCCTTCCAGGGAATTCTTCTATGATTTCATAGAAGTCCGCATCAGACTTTTTAAATATTCTGTGCCACAATTATGGCTTTTTTGTAAGCCCACACTCTTCTTTGGAGTCTTTGAACCATCCATGTACATGAAAGGCTAGTTTGCCTGTCATTCGAGGAAACTCTTACTGGACGAATGTTTTAGTGGTTTGATTGCTGCGATCGCAATCTGCCTGACGATGGTGTCGCAGGTTCGATCCTGGACACGGCCAACCTCTGATTTCAACCCCTTTGTCCTAACCACTTAAGGATTCGAGAGTATATCTCTTGGCACCCTCATTTTATGAGAAAATCTGAGGACCTGCAGCCGATACCTATTGGGTCAAAAGTCTTGACGTTATTAGACGCAAGTGCCTAACTTCGACGATAAAAATAGCATTTTACTAGTTACTGGATGCTTTCCCGGGCGAAATGTTCGCAATCAACGTGAGTACGAGGAATTATCGACTACGGACGTTGTTACTGTGGTAAATGCTTGCAATGATCTTCATTGTTCACTCACCAGTACCGTCGCCAGCTTACGACAGTGCTTCTCGTAAGTCTGCGGCATTCGGTTAGTGCTCTATATTATTATTTTCAAAATGTGTGTTATTCTCAAAATACCACGTAAAAGGGAGAAGTTTGAACTATCTTGGGTCTGGGTTTGAGCCACTTACCCGCAAGAAAGTGAGATGTTGTGCAGTCACAACCAGCGGATGAAAGAGCAGAACGGCTTGCACAAAATGCTTTCATCGACTTATTTTATTCTATGTTTTCACGGGCTTTCACACTAGTGAAATAATATTGGTAGAACATTTTGTACGAACTGCCTCCTGAAAATTTCTTGAACAGCGATTGCACATGCATACATTGCGTATGCCAGGTGTTCGATGATATTCAGAAAGAAAGATATACAAATATTCATACAAAATAACTCATTTGACAGAGGAACCACGGAATCTTTTTCCTTCAATGCAAACTTTTTATGGAAATCTTGTCAAATCATCTCAAATTTGGCAATACAAATGATGAAATCTGCAATAATCTCATCGAGAGCAGTGGTTCTCAACCGGTTGGTCACGATGGTCTTCCCAGTGTGTCGCGAGAGAATGAAGTGAATTAAAAGATAATAGTGATGTTGAGAAGAAAGAGATTAATCATATGTACCCAACCGAACTACAGGGCTATATTACTAGAACTTTCTTTTTAGAAAATACTTAATCTATTAATCCAGACAGGAAGGCAGCACAGGGAGAAACCTTGCTAGCAAACAATTCCAAGTATCAAGGATCCAGCAAAGACTCTAGAATCCAGAGTCCTTGTTGATTCGATCTGACCAGATCCTTCCTCCAAGATGTCTCCTTGAAAGGCTGCCTATACCTGCTGGTGTGTTCGTAGAAACTCAACCTCTAAGTTGCTATTTCGTAACAATGTTATAGCTGCCGCCAAAGGATATCGCCAGAGCAAAGTGAATCAAGTTCCCTGGTAGCCCTCAACGTTCCGTCCACGCTGGCTGCGAGTGGGACAGCGTGGATATATATCGCAATGTGCTGCTACGTAAGTCCCACATTGGCGTTAGGAGGACAGCTAGCGTTTGTTAGATCTCAGGATGAGGCATTTATCTCAGTTATTTCAACAAAATACTTCCCACAAATGATGCGAGATGAAGCGTGTGCAGCCGCTATTTCAGTAGTTTCAGGGAGTACTTCCTTAATTATGAGACCCCAAATGACAGTAAGCACCTACACCAAAGGGCCTTCCATTTCATTGAATGGCATCCTGGACTGGCTGTGGGATATGATTAAGCAAAAATGCAAATCCTGCCACTATTATAGGATTTCCAATGGCAAAAAAAAAGTTTTTTTTTTGCGGTAATCGTTTTGCGTGCAATTACGGCTCTTAACGATACCAAAGAAGTTTATTCCAATATGTAATGGGATTTCTCTATGATTTATACTGAACTCTTGACCTTCTAATTCATATCATTAACCTTTTTGAAAATCATGTGGGAACATGGTTTACCTTTAAGTACTCATACGTGATTGGGCTTTTTTCGACATTCGCAAAAAATGTTTGAAGAACAAATATATCCACATAGGAAATAGTATATTTAGGCAGAATATCGAATTCCTAAGGAAAGTAATTGCTCAACCAACATGGCGAATCTCTTCCTATTTTATTATGAAGGTAAACACATGGACGATTCTTCTTTTCCAAATTAGTACAGTTTTACTTACTGATGCATTCATCAACTCGTAACCATTGACAATAGAATAATAATGGCCGATATTGAAAGCTTCTATCCAGAATGCCTGAAATAGAAATGTTGCACGATTTTTTGACGCTATTCAGTAACAGATAGCACAATGCCCCAAGTCAGAAAATATGCGAAAGAAGAAATGGAATGACCAATTGATTCATCTCTATTTCAAGAAAAAATTTTATTATGAGCGAGAAAAAGCTTGATTTGAAACGTACTTCATATTACAGTATTTTTATGGAACAATGGAATTGAAGGTTTCCGAAGTTTCAAATTTGTTTCATGATTGACCACTTCTCCTTTTGGCTCTTCTCGGGCAACATGAAACTGCAGATTGAGAATTGCATGCAATCATCATCCGTCTCCGGGAGAGTGATGGGCATTCCAATGAAGAGGAGGCAGCAATAAACGTGTGAACCTTTACCTCCACAAGTTCCAATCAATTTCTTCTGTCTTCTGTTCAATACTCTTGTAGCAGATCACCCACAAGTGGTTTCTCCTGAACAATACATGAAGCTTTCACTAAGAATGCCTAAGGAATCCTTTGATAATCCGATTAGGAAATTTGGAAAAGAGATGGATGACGCTTCACGTGCATAGGGGAACGTGGGTAGGAGATAAAACAAGCTAAATGCAGGAAATCGCAGCTGCCAAAAGAAATAGAAATTTTGTCAAAATAGAGGATATTCAGATCAACTGGGGGCATTCCACATCAGATATACCAGAGGTTTTGGTTTAAATATCAGTGATTTTGCTGCCATTTGATGATGAGGTAGCGCTTAACCTAAAAGTGGGAGATCCATTTTTTTTTTCTGTACGTGGCAAGGTCCCAAAATAGTATACCCAGCTTCGACCCTTAAACCAACATCTAAGATATGTATTGGGTTGGAAAGAAAGTCTTGCACCACTTTGAAAAATTTTATAAGTAGTTTTAGAAAGGAATGATGGGCGGGGCTTTGCATTTGTATATGCTGGAACGTTCTCGAAGCTTCTTCCCTCGGGGTATATAAGGCGGCTTCTGCCATTAGTTGACAGACATGGCTCCGATCGAAGAAGCAACTCTTCGCCCCATCGTCTACTACGAGTTCCTCCAAGGGCAATCTGCGAGAGCCGCCGCGGACATCAGCGCTGCATTCAAGGGCAACGTGGTCCACTATTCCACGGTGTCTCGATGAGTTCAGACGCTTCGAATCTGGCGACACGACCTTCGGAGATCGACCACACTCAGGACGTCCATCTACAGTCGATGACGAAGCCCTGCAGAACGCCCTTGGAGGAACTCGTAGTAGACGATGGGGCGAAGAGTTGCTTCTTCGATCGGAGCCATGTCTGTCAACTAATGGCA